TGTGGTACATATCCATATTGGAATATTAGTCCCCCATAAAAAGGAATAAAATTGGATCATTTGTAGAGATGTGGATGAACCTAGATTCTATCATACAGAGTGCAGTAAGTCAGAAAGAGAAAAAGTGTCATATATTAACACATGTATGTGGAATCTAGAGAAATCGCACCAATAAACTTAGGTCCAGGGAAGGAATAAAGAGGCATATGTACGGAATGGACATGTGGACACAGGCAGAAAGGTGAGGCTGGGATGATCTGGAAGATTAGGTTTGACATAAATGTACTACCATGTGCAAAATCGATAGCTAGTGGGAACCTGCAGTGTAGCAAAGAGAGTTCAGCTCAGTGCTCTGTGATAACCTAGATAGGTGGGATGGGGGGGGGGCGGTGGGAGGAAGGTCCAAGAGGGAGAGGATATAGTTATAAATACGGTTGATTCACTTCATTGTGCAGCAGAAACTAACATAATATTGTAAAGCGATTATACTCCTATAAAAATAAATGGGCCCTTTGTTTTAGCTGCTACAACTAGCAATTATAAAAGTCTGGAGGCATTCCAAAGACAACACTGAAGAAGGAAAGAGGAATTGACAGGTCAATAGAGCTGCTAAGGCAGCAGCATTACAAGATTCAAGCTCCATACTTGGGAGGACACCCGCTGCCCATCTAAGGAACAGAAACGAGTTTCTGAGTGATGCACATTTGATCAACATACTGGGCTTTGGTATATGCTAAATCGCCACTCTACTCTTTGTGAAGTCACTCAAGAAACTACACTAAAATTAATACATTACTCATTGTGGGAACCGATAAAATGACAGCCTGGGAAAAACAATACTTTTGGAAATCTTCTCCCAAAATAATGGCTGAAATATGTCAGAGGTGTCAGATCTGTCCTAAGTAGAACCCAGAAATACCTATTCATACTTCTCACAGCCACTTTCCTTTGCTTCCTGGTCCTTTTGAAATCTGGCAAGTGGATTTTACCTCACTATCTCCCTTTCAGGGATGCAAATATGTTCTGATGATAGTATGCATGTAATCCCATTGGGTGGAAGCTTCTCCTTGCAGATGAGTAACTCCCCTTACAGTAGCCAAAACACTGTTGAAAAGGATTATTCCTACTGAGGGAATTCCCCAGGAATTACATAGTGATAACGGTGCTCATTTCATTGCACAAATTCTAAACGCTATTTGTAAAATCTGGCCTCTACTACATTTCCACTGTAACTATCACCCTCAATCTTCTGGTCCAGCAGAAAGAAACAAAGACGTAATCAAAACTCAACTGGCAAAAAATCTCTGTGGCTATAGGCCTTCCTTGGCCTAAATTGCTACACATAGTTCTATTAAACTTAATATCTATACCCTTTGGAAAACACAAACTGTCACCATTTGAAAAAGTTATTGAAAAATCCATGATCCTTGACTTAGGACTATATAATCCCCTTCTAGTAAAGGGAGATCTTTTACATTATTGTCAAAGTTTCATTAAAACTGACCCAGAAGTGAGGCAAATGACCCCTAATGTGGATGGCTTTCCCAAGACATCCCTTTCCCTTGGACAAGGCTGGTACTCTCCTTGATTCCCGTCAATGAAATCCCTCAAGTTAACCTTGTTCTAATTGCTACCATCATCGAGTTGTTACATCTCCTTCATTATGTAATAATTGATGATCCATCAACTTGCTTCTCCTTCTTATAGACATATTGTCAAGGAGCAAAATTTTTAATGAATAGGTTTATGGCCAGAAATGAACATTTAGAGGAAGTGACTCTGGTCCTTTGGTTCTTCAATATTGACTATAAAGGACTGGACAATTGAATTCTGGGGACTCCTCGTTGAAGCTACAGTTTTATTAATGAACTTTGTCCTACTACACAGAGTAGGCATCCTCCATGAATGGTAATTCTATCTTATATTAACTCTGCTGGGAATAAGCCTGTGGCTCCAATTCTTGGCCATTTAACTACTCTATTTCACTTGGGATCCTTTCACTCACCAAGGCCATGAGTTACCCTTAGTCCTCTTTATATTAAAATGGCTGACTTTTCCTGGGATAATTTTTACTAGAGTTATATTATTAGCTATCTTAATATCCATCTGGACTCTCTATACCTGGGAAAGTAATGCCTTATTTGGAAGTGCATTTTGTAAATGCCTAAGTAATGCATTTCCAAAAGTCTAGCCACTGGAAGAAATCTAACAAACTGTTGGATATGCCATCAGCACCCTAATCATTCTCTGAATACTGGGATCCCCTTACTTTGGCTATCACTAATCTTACTGGTAACTCTCTACCATATGTTATTCAGAACTCATCTACTTGAATCCACAGTTCCCTTTCCTTGTTTTCCTTGTTTAGAACCAGATTACCCCCCACCAAACAGTTCCTTAGGAATATGTGTTCCAATGAGGCCCTGTGGTTATCCAGAAACAAGAGATCCAACTTCCAAATACCCACTTTTATTTCACTGTTCAGCAACAAAATATATTCTCATGATAACCCCCATACATTCCAACAAGGAAGGCTTCTAGGCTGCTCATATATAACCAGCCCATGGTTGAATTTCACCTTTGATATCTCCTTTCTCTGTGCTCCAGTGAAGTTGCTCAGTCGTGTCCAACTCTTTGCGACCCCATGGACTGTAGCCTACCAGGCTCCTCCAGCCATGGAATTTTCCAGGCAAGAGTACTGGAGTGGGTTGCCACTGCCTTCTCCAGGGAATCTTCCCGACCCAGGAATCGAGCCCAAGTCTCCCACATTGCAGGCAGATGTTTTACCATTTGAGCCACTGGGGAAGCCCTCCATCTATGCATTTGTGGTTGGAAGGTCACCACCTAGAGCATATCCTGCCTCAATGCCCTAACACCAGGTTCTAATGCCCTAGGACTTTTAACAGTTCATTTGACTGTTAAGTTTTTCAGAAATTACTAAATGGCACATGCAGTCTACTTTAAGCCTCTGCCAAGAAACCCCTTCTGACGGATTTCAAAGGTTCCTAAGATTTATTTAAACCACACGGGGAGTTGGCGCCACTGACAAAATTATTCAAAACCTCTCTGCTATCACAGCAGACACAGCTAATGCCACAGCTAAAACATTAAGTGCCCAAAAAGACTCCCTGAATTTGCTTGCTCATCTTGTGTTAGATAAAAGTTTTTCTTTGGATTACCTTCTAGCAGAACTTGGAAATGTCTGTGTCATCTTAAATACCACCTGTTGTACCTGGATAAATGCCTCTGGTATAGTAGAAACTCAAGTTGGAACCTTACAAAACAAGGTCACTTGACTTCATTCTGACAGTCTTAATACTTCCCTAATGTTTGGTTTGTTTAGTTGGTTACCCTCAAACATTGGATCTTGGTTCAAAACTGTTTTGCAAACTGGGTTATTACTCTTAATAACTGCTGTCAGCTTCTTGTGATAAAGTGCTTGCTTAAATTGATTACTTCTATACTTAACCATTCTACTGCTCAGCTGATACTCATCCAAATCAGTATACTTGAGGCAGCACAACATCATGTTGCTTCCAGTTAATTTTCCAATGTATCCACTGATTCATTCACAAACCACCCTCTAAAGGACAGGATGGACCTGGAGCAGACAACCAATTCTGGCTATATGGGAATAAGAATTGATCCAATGATGCTTTCTTCAGGAAAAGGCATGGGCAAAAGGGGGAAATATGAAAATAACTATGTCATGAATGACTAAGACATGACCTGAAGACCTCCGTGTTTGCTATCAATGCTGGACTTTCACTGAACACTCTAAATTAAAACTGCTGAATAGTTGCTGAGTTGCTAAAATGAAAGATTGATGTTAAGAACTAGACTTCATCTTCCTAAGAAAACACAACTGTCCCTAGTAATGACTGAGATGCATTCCATAACTCAATCTTATGTATAGAATAATTTTACCCTCCAATCTAAAATGTTGGTAAACAACTTGCATAACCCTGCATTGACTTCCCTCTTCCTGTAAAAAAAAAACCCTAGCCATTTTCCCCTTGTGGGACACTATTCTGGTTTCTTCTAGACTTTCTGTGATCCCTGAATTGCAATTCTAAGACCCCAAATAAACTACCTTTTTGCCTCTTCACAGTTAGTAATCCTTATGTTTGATGTGGATTTAAATTAGCCTGGGCCATATCTCCTATGATAGATAGAAAAAATTAAGCACAAACTAGTTGTAACCCTTCCCTGTTCTGAGCCTGATAGTAGAAAGAAAACTGACAGGAAGGAAGTGAATTAGAAAAGAAAGAGGCTGGAGTTGGGGAAATAGAGTAGTGTCTGGAAAAAAAAAAAGACGTAGAGGAGGCTCTAACTAAGGTCAGCTGTACGCAGTCACCAACTGGCCTAGCAATGTCACCTCTACGGTTTTTCTTCCTGGATGAGCAGAACCAGGTCCACTCTGTTACACCTCTTTTCTATAGCCCAGCTTGGGGCTGGACAGATGTTTTTGCCTCCAAACCCACACACGCAAGCTGGGGAGCTGGAATGATGGTCTGAGCAACCGTTGGGGCAGAAGTCAAGAGGCGGACCGGAGTCAAGAGGAGGGCAGGGAAACCCTAGATAAAGGAAGTAACCCTCTGGGAGGCAATGCCACGCGGGGTATTCAAGAAAGGCTGTTACAAGTGCAGCAAGTCTGTATAAAAGGCTGGAGTAAAGGGGTGTATGAGGTAACCGCTGCGGAGCCAGAACAGAGAGGGACCCGGCAGGCAACCACCCACCGCGGAGGCGGCGTCAAGTGAGAGAACGGTTGGTACAGAACCACCTCTCCTTTGCGCACCGCAGCTGCCTGCAGGCAGCTCCCAAGGAGAAGAAAGTTCAGTTTGGGTGAAACGGGGTGTGAACCGAGGAATATTACTCCGGTCCCGCGCGGAAGAGGGCGTTAAAGAGCACCCTAAGGGTTGAGAGGGTGTACCTGGGCTTGCGGATGAGCATGGAGAGGGAATCCCCGACTCCCAGCCTCGCCGATTTCTTCTCCTTACCTTGGGCACCGTGATATGGTCCATGACCGCGGTTCCCCACACCCCAAAGCTTTAGTGCAACTCAGGCTGCTGCCGCCACCACGATTTTAGCAGCCTTCTTGCCCAACCCTGGTTCTAGCCCCCGCCCTCCCTCTCGTGCTGCAAGCTCTCGTCACCTGATCCTTGCGGAGGCTTCTCTCGCGACACTTCGCCTTTGGCCGCTAACGCCATCTTGCTTCCTGGCAATGCCCTTTTCTTTGTGCGATCCTGTCAAAACGCCATTCCTTTGGTAGGGGTGTGTGCTCAGTCACATCCGACTCTTAGCAACCCATTGGATTATAACCCACCAGGCTCCTCTGCCCATGGGATTCTCCAGGCAAGAATACTGGAGTGGCTTACTATTTTTCACTCCAAATGATCTTCTCTGCCCAGGGATGGAACCGGAGTCTCTTGCAGCTCCTGCTTTGGCAAGCAGATTATTTACCACTGTGCCATTTGGGAAGAGAAACTGCTAAATATACATTCTAGCTCTCTAAGAACACTTGGTTTAAATAAAATCCAGTGATTGGGAGCTTTTTTCATATTAAGGGCAAAGCTACTAGGATTGTAGACAGGAGGCAGAACAGTGACATTAGGCTCACAATGGGACTGCTTCCATTTTCTTAAGAGTAAAAACAGCAACAACAGATTGTCCTAGTTCAGACTTCAGGTTTGGCCCAGGAATTCTTAAGTCCCAGACTCAAGTGCCGGCACCCTTCTCACATCCCATGATGCTGTAAGGATTCTGAGTACCAGTATCATTCCACTATTCTTTAATGTTAACAGAGATGGCACCAGAGAAAACATAGACTACTCTGTGGTGATGACTGAGTTTCTGAAGAGCTTCCTGTGAGACCTTGGGCAAGTCACTATAGAATATTTTTGAGATGGTTTATAAGTATATTTTCCTTTCATTCCTCTCAACCAGGGGGAGTCTACTGCCATCAACCTAGTTAAAGCCTGGACTATTAGAGTAGCCTCATAACTTTGTCATCAAAGATGTGGGAAAAGGACCAGAGACCCACTGGACCACCTCTCAGATGAGGTGCAGCTACTCTGTAGTGTTCTCTGAATCAGGATTTTGATGGCAAAAAGAACAGTCTGGGAGTTGTAAAACCTGGATTTTACTCTCAGGTCTGCTATTAACTTGCTGTGTGACCTTGGACAAATCATGTCAGCTCTCTGGGCCCTGTATTCTAGCTGAAACCTCTATCTTGCCTGAATTATTGACATGGTTTGGTCGCCATGTTTTGGCCCTGGTTCCTCTAGAATCTATCCTCAATATGACATCTTCCAGACTCTAGAATCTATAGTGATGTCACTCCTTTGCTTGAAACCTACCAGTGGCTCTCCATTTCAGAGTAAAATCCAAATGTTTACGTTGCTTAAAATAAGCCTACATGTGATCTAAGCCTAGTCCCTCTCTGACTATATCTTCTATCACCCTTTTCTTTCTCTCTTTATGTTATATTGATCTTCTTGTTGTTTCTGAAATATACCATACATTTTCCTGCCTCAGAAGCACTTGCTGTTCCCTCTGCCTAGAATGCTCTTCCCCCAGATATCCATATGTTCACTCCCTCATCTCTGTCGTGTCTCTGGTCAAATTCACAATGTCAGAGAATCATACTTGAGCACCTTATATCAAATAAAAGCACCACTACTTCTTCCCCAGAATTCTCTATTGTCTTAACCTTTTTTCTTTATATTAATAATTATAAACACCAGCTGATATACTATAAATGTCCTTGTCAGTTATTTGTCGCCCCCTCTAGGATGTCAGCTTCATGAGGCCAGGGACTTTTTGTTCACTGCTAGATCTCCAAAGTCTGGAACAGACTTGGAACACAGTAGGTATTCAATAAATATTTGTTGAATAAGTGAATTTTCTAAACTGCCCCAAATTTTCTCTCCATTAACTTTAGCCATTCCTCCTAACAGTCCCTACTTAAGGCAAGTTAGTGTCATTTCAGAGGAAATTTAGAGATGGTGATTTGTCAAAGGTTTCAGAATAATCACATGTCAGGTTGGACCCCCACAAGAGTAGATAATATCTGGGACTAAGAAGGAAAATGTGGAAGGAAAAAGTATTAGAGTCATAAAAAAATTTCTGTGAAAGGGATTCTATTACCATCTATTATTTTTTTGTCTTCTGCCATTATGATGTCAGCTCTGTGAGATTTTTCACCGTTCACTGCTGTAACCCAGTGCTTGGAAAAGTACTTGGCAAATAGTGAATGCTTGATAAATGCTTGGTGAATGACTAGATGAAAACGAATTACTCTAGACTCACAGCTGGTGTGGACCAGAAAATAAACAAGTAGATGGAAAGAATCTGAAGACAGGAAATCATTAGGAGGCATTATGTTCATCCAAAAAGAGTTGTAAGCCAATGGGGCTGTGGGTTTTTTGACTTGGTACCTAGAACTCAGGTCTCAGATTAGCCAACATCTGAATACTAGTTGCTACACTAAATCTCACCTGTCCTGCTTTATATCCAAACCTCCAACTCAAATATTACTCAGTTATGTTCTACATTGAGGGATTTTCTGATGTTTGGGATTGGTGTTTCTCCCATGGTATCCTAGGGAAGTAAGTAGATGTGCTTTGCCCCAATATCTCACTAGCTGGAGATACAACCACAGAAAGCTACTGCCAAAGGTCACCCATGAAGTGGTGAATTATGACTGTTTAACAAGTCACAGAGCCTTTGTGACCTCACTCCTGCTCCAAAGATAGCTTGATAAGTCACAACAGAGGGCAGTTGGGGCATAAATTCACACAAGTCATCAAGACCTCCTCCACTTTGCTGCTGGGAGAGACCATCAAAAACAGACTGTATTTTTAGTTTATTTCAGTCTCAGCTTATCAGTCATCTTAAGCCAACTACCAACAAACTTCTTTTGAAGACCTACTTGCCAGAAATCACTTTATTCATCTTTTAGAGACAGCTTACCTGAATCATGCAGTGCATAGGGGATATCAGTGAAGAAGTCTGGCAAGACTGCATCACCCTCTTCCTACAGACTGGGATGTGCTGTGATGCAGCGATAATAACCAATTCCCCACCTTGGTTGTTGGCTTCTTATCCTGAAGGAAATCTGTTCCAACTGACCCAGGAAGAAATTAAGATCTTGCTGGTGAGAGAAGGGAGAGAGAAGTTGTTTCTTCAGGGAATCACCCTTGCAGGGACCAAATGTTTGTTGATCCGGGACAACCTATACACTGAGGGCAACAACACCATGGATCTCCGCACCAAAGGCCAGAGTTGGGGCAGCCAAGCAGTGACAGTAGTTCAGGTCGAGTCTGTATACCTTGTGGTGATGGGACAAAAAGGAACAGAAGGAGGGCCTCTCAACTTCAAGGCTTTTGAGATGGCGGGTTGTGTCAAAGAGGCCATTCATCAACATATGGCCCATTTCTAAGTAAATAAAAAGGCCTTGATGTTTGACCTGGAATTCGAATTCATTGTTATCTGATTCACCTTCCAGATTAACAGTCTTGAAGAAAATAAAGGGAAATTCCAGATCGGGTTTGGAGATGTGTGTGTGTGTGTGTGTGTGTGTGTGTGTACGCTTGTTAGGAGAGGAGCAGATTGGGGAGTGAGCAGTCAAGCATTTGAGTTTCTGCACCTTGTTCACACCTAGAACACCATCTGTCCCATCTCAGCACTTGGAGGGAAGAGTACTGGACTGGGAACTAGAAAATCTTCGTTGCACTCCCAACTTTTTCCTAACTATGGTATCTTTCTCTCTTTGTACCTCAGTTTCCTAATCTGTACAATGAGGAATGTACTATGTCTCTAAGGGTCCTATAAGCTCTGGAAATCTATGATTTTGTAATAATCACATATATCCTTCAAAATTCAGCACAAGTATTACCTCCTCAAGGAGTCTTTCTTTGCCTGCATCAACCTTTAGGGCAGACCCTAATTTGAATTACTAGAGTACTAATGCTATGCATAATTCGTATGTACTTAATCTCACTCTTCCCAGTATTTCTTGGATGATTGTTCCGTAATCTTGTTTAACTTTTCACACACACATTAGTTTTGTTTCCCAACTTTATAATAATCTGCAAAAAAATGACAGATGGTTTACCTTTTACTTCTCTATTCCCCTTCTGGGGTAACCCATCATGGGGCTTTGCCAGGGGAGTTGGCTATATGGATAAAATCAATTATCAGGAAAAGAGAGATTTTCCAAAGTGGGGATTCTGCTGCATGTGGATGATCCAGGGTGTTTGTGGGTAGATTTTATTCTTCCAATTTGTGGCTCACCTTTGGACTATTTATCTGTTCATTGTTGTCACCATCAGGGAAAACATGGGTGGGCAGAAGCTAAGAAAGGAGGTAAAAAGCGCTAACCATCCCATCTGGCTTGTTGCTAGCTACTCTGGACAAGCTGGTGTGAAAGAAGACAGAAATGAGAAAGATGAGATTGAATAATAAACCACAGCAATTCTTGCCTGGAGAATTCCATGAACAGAAGAGCTTGGCAGGCTACAGTCTATGAGGTCACAAAGAGTTGGACATGATTGAGTGACTATCACTCATTTGACCCTACTGCCACCAGGAGCAGTGATTATGGAGAACCTTCATATCTGTCAGTTTCAGGGAACAACTTCAAAACCCGCCATATACACCCTCACAAGCCTATAAAGGTCAAAGTTTAAACATGGAGGTTGTAAAAGATCTGTTCTATTCAATACAGATATAATGTTAGTCATGTATGTAACTTATTTTAATAGTTACCTTAAAAAGGAAAAAATGATACAGTTGAATTCAATTTTAAGAATGTAGAATGTATTTTATTTAACCCAGTATATCCAAAATATTATTTAAACATATAATCAATAAAAATATTATTGATGAGATATTTTACATGTTTTCATGCCAAGGCTTCAAAATCTGGTGTGCATGGGTTCCCTGGTGGCTCAGTGGTAAAGCACCCACCTGCCAAGCAGGAGAAGCGAGTTTGATCCCTGGGTCAGGAAGATTCCCTGGAGAAGGAAATGGCAACCCACTCCAGTATTCTTGCCTGGAAAATCCCATGGACAGAAGAGGCTGGCAGGCTTTAGTCCTTGGGGATGCAAAAGAATCAGACACAACTTAGCAACTAAACAAAATCTGCTGTGCATTTTACATTTGTAACATATCTCAATTCAAACAAGCTTAATTTCAAATGCTCAGTAATCATAAGTATCTAGTGGCTACTGTATTTGGCAATGTGGGTCTAGGCCATCCTCATCCAGTTTTTGAAACCTCTCTACAATATCCTTGCCAGCACATTCATCCATCCATCCAACACTCTTCATGCCAAGTATTGGCTAGGTAATTAATAAAAATGTCAAAAATTAGAGAAAAGAAGTTTCTTAAATAAAATTCTAGTGGGGACAAGACAAATGAAAAAAATTAGTTGCAATACAATGAGGTAGATGGCATGAAAAAGTTTGTTTGTACAAATATGTATTGAGTTCCTGGTATGTGTTCTAAACACAGCAGTAAACAAAGTACACAATAATCCTGTATTCATGGAGCTTGTATTCTAATGGAAGAAACAGAATATGTGTCAGGAGATGATAAGTGTCATGCAACAAAGCAGTAAAAAGAGAGGTAGAGAGTGATGGGAAGGACTGTTTTAAATGGGAGATCAGGGACAGCTTCTCAGGAGAGGTGATATCTGTACAGGGGCGTAATGAAGTGAGGCATTAAGTGATGTCAAGAACTAGGGGAAGTGCTGCAGGTAGAGAGAAGAACCATTCAAAGGCCCTGAGGTAGGAGTGTGCCTGTTCTTTTGAGGAAATATCAGGAGGCCCATGTGGTTGCAGCTCCTTTCCCTTCTCACCTGCAGCATTCTAAAAAATGGTGGTGAGACCATAGATGCTGTCTTCTGGGGTAGAACAGCAAAGCAGAGCAAATAGTCTCATCGCCCTCCTTTTGGATCCTCTCTTTTTAATGAAATTGCTGTAACTTTTATCTTGGCAGCCATGTTATACTTCTGACTCACACTGAGCTCTTGGTTAACTAAACCCCCTTGGGCTTTTTCACATTGGCTTCTCTAAAGAAAAGAGCTTGAAATTGTGATAAGTCAATAAACCAGGGAAAAAAATTAAATGTGAAATTGGCTTCAGTAGAATCTTCATCTTGGATAGAGCCTCAATGTGGTTTAATACATACCCCTGAAGGGAAAGAAAGAGAGGTGAGATGGAGGGTAAAGAAGGAAAATTCTTAAGATAATTGAGCCTTCTACATTATTCTTTACAGCTTGAATCTCCAAAACATAAAGACATGTTCAGAAATTAGGGCCATTGAGGAAAATGGCCTTGCCAATTAGAAAGGCCCAAGCAAATCTTTCATTAGAGGGTAAGCTAAAGTATTCAGATTCCAATTGAACAAGAAACTGAATTGGATGTATGACTGACTGAGGATCAGGGTGGTAAGCTGGGAAGAGGAAGGGAACCTACATGGTTGCCACCTATCAGAGATCCCGCCCATTTGAGCCAGAAAGAAGCACTTCACTGTGGTACAAGACCATGCTTGCCTGTTGCCATGCTGAAGTCTTTCCCTAGAAACTGAGTGTGCCTTGTACAAGTAAGGTACAACTGAATGAAGAGAAAAATTCATTTGGACTGTTCTATTACCAGAAGGGATAAGAAGGATAGTCTACATGAGAGCTCAGGGTCAGTACAGAGAAACTTGAACCTTGCTATGAGGATTCGTTTCCTCCCTCCACCCTGTGTGCCCTTCCTGTTTTGGGTACTCACAGTGAATTCTGAAGCTATCCTTAACCTTCATCTGTCACCTTGACGCCCACTTATCCTTCCTTGTACTCTGCAGTCCAGTCACACTGAATAATTCATTGTTTTCATCACATGCTTCACAATTTCCTGAACGGTGTTCTCAGAATTCACTACTACTTGCCCTCCCCTTCTCTAACAATCGCAAGCCAGTGCCCAACTTATTTGCCTAGACCCAGCCACCAGACCCATTTCTATAAGGATATTTCTTATTCCCCAGGTTTGGAGTTGTTTCCTCCTGACTTGGAATCACTCACTTTGTGCTTTGCACCTCTCTCGTAACACTTAACTCTTTCAGCTTTCAGTCCTTACTATGCACGTGTTATGTTTTCTTTACCTTATTGGCCTTCAAGGTGCCCTAGAGATGACTATTTGGTTGTAATCCCTATTAGCAGGCTTTTGTGCTAGGAAGTTCTCAATGAGTATACAACCTCCTGGATGATTAATAAATGACAGACATAATGAATGAATAAAGGTTAATTTTCCAGCCAAGCCACTTCCTTGGTTTCCTGCAGTTTAACTTAGTGGAGAATGAAGGAAGGTTGCTGAGTCCTCTTTGTCCTTCATCTCCCCAGCACTTATCACATTTCCTTTGCTTCTGGGCAGCAGAGTGTCTCGCTGTGGGAAATCTTTAGCTCTGATTTTGAGGCTTTATGTGATTATTATATTTCTTGAATAGGGTGAGGTCCATGCCAATTGGATGGTATACACAATTAATGATGTAGGAATTAAGTGGAAGAACTCCAATGAGTGCTGTCCTTATTCATTGTTATATGGAATGTGCATTCTCTCTAATAACTAGAAGTTCTACATGCAGTATATTAATTTATTCATGTTTATTTTCTTGTTCGATATTTTATACAGGCATTTACAATGGGGTGAAAAGAACTGAATTCTAAGAATCTGATTCCCAGCCCTGAACTATCATTTATTAGTTATATATTCTTGGCTAATCACTTTATGGTCCTCTGGTTTCTCACCTAAAAAAATGGAGATGTTGATACTTGCAGGATTAGTGTGGAGATCAAATATAAAAATGGAAACAAAGTGCTTTGGAAAATATAAAGTGCTTTAAATATCAGATCACGTGTGGAGATATGTGTGTGGGGGTTAAGTTAGAGATACCTGTCTTCAGGCAAGTACTTGGAGTTATGGGAAGCAGATTGAGCTCCCATGCAATTGACAACAGAGACAAGAAACTTTGGGTCTGAGATGCTAGTTATAACAGAAGCTTTAACTTATTTGGAGATGGCCAGGATGGGGGTGGGTTGAGAATAAAATGTTGCTTCCTATGGAAAGGGTAGAGGCAGTTCTTAGGAACAGCAGTAAACAGCTTCATATTTGTGGTCTAGTGGGGAAGAGGGCAGTTATTTCCTAATGATAGAGCACTGAGTGTCTTACAGTTTATAGAAGGCTTTTGCCATTCATTCAGCAAATATTTATTTAGTGCCTACTATGTGTTTACTGTGAACAGATAAATGATAATGCAATATAGTAAGTGGTATTAAAGAGTACATTCATTCATTCATTCAAATATTTATTGACTGTTCACTTCTGTTTAAGCATTATTGTAAGCACTGACAATACAATTGTGAATAAAATAGGGAAAACTCCCTGCTCTCATAGA